TGCGGTGATTTAGGCAGAGGACGAAGTGCATCGTAAGCTATAGCAGCGAAGTACAAGACCGAGACTCTTTTTTACAGAGCAGCCGAGATAAGATTCTGATATAACACGCCTAGTATCCACTTTCTGCAGGATACGTGCGAAAATCTTGAGCGTTTCCACTTGAGCAAAAAATCATTCACTTTTTCACTTTATTTTTCCATTTTTTTCAGTGTATATAGATCCTATAGTCTATTGTTATAGGTTTAAAGCTAGAGTAATATATCTGTTTATACGTTGGTACCCCGATTTGTATACCGAAGTATGTTTCATCATCTAAAAAAATTTCTTTGATGAAATTTTAAAGTTATCGATTGTTGAGAAAGTTTATGTATTTAATAAAATCAAGTTTTGTCTGTGCAACAATAAATGTACTTTTTTAAACTTTTTAATGTTAGCTTAATAAATTTATATCGTTTGCTTTTCCAAAAAGAGAGTTCGAACTAAAGAAAAAACTCACAAGATATGAACTGTTTTAGTCAGTAGGACAGATCGAACTGCATAAAAGCAATATAAGTTATAAAAGTAGAATATCAACAGTAAGTTCTCTTAAGCTAAAAATTTGTTCATGATAAAGCATTCAATTTAATTCCAGTGAGATTTTTTTAAAGTACGTTGTGTTATAGTGCATAGAATTTTGCTTTGATTTTATTGAATAGTACACCATTTTTGATTTGATTGGATTTGTATGTTTTCATTTATGGCACTAAAGGCCATTGTTCGCTTTGTTTCTAGACATGTTTTCAAATGTAAACGCATATTTGCTAAATCATACGTGTGAGGAGGCCAAGTTTTCTTCAATGCAAAATGAAATGCGTCAGCTATCGTGAAAAGATCTGAGTTTACCTCATCATTGATTTCACGATCCATATGAATTAATACGACTTGTGCTAATGATTTATTAGTTATTTTTTGTAAATAACTTTTAATTGAATGGGTTAAAACTTGTTGTGTACTATCCAATATGTATATTGTATCTTCAGTAATGATTAACGTAATCCAGTGTTTTTCTCTATCATAACTATGCATCAAAATATTTTCAAACTTTGACGATTGAAGATAATCAAAACCAACATGAAATTCTTTTGATTTCATATATGAATTAATTAATTGTTGTGCAGCCTCATATATACGATACGATAATTTAGAATCATGTAATAAACATTCTTTGTCATACATGCGTAAATTCAATTCTTCTATCCAATAAGGTGTTTCACGGCGTAAATTCTCTTCTTTCTACAATGTAATATAAACAGAAATTAAATACAGTCACCAAATAGTCAGTTATAGTAAATGAATGAGTCATCAGTGAGAAATACCGTGCTTCTGGATCCCTACGGGCTTCCTATGGATTCTCACAGATCAAAATAGGAATTCTCAAGGCTCATGGACCAAGAATCTTTAGAAATCACAGGGAGTCTTTTCAGAGGACTCCTAGGAATCTCTGAGGCATTTACCAACAATCGTAAATACACGATCTCTTCATGTGGTGGAGAGATTCTAAGAACTCCTGGTCCAGATATTCCGTTTCCATATCTTTATCCTGTGCGTAAGTTCAATGATAAACATTAGTTTTTTGTAAAATATGTAAACATTTTTGTTCTTTTCTTCCG